AAAAAATGATGTTAATTAAGTATGACTATCTGATTCTTTTTTCCACTTTTTTTAGAGGCAATGATTCATTCATCCATTTTGAGCCACTAAAATGTCTATTTTAAAACAGCATAGTTCCCAATAGTTTCCAATAAATATTCCTGATTTAATACTGGAATGCAGAATTATAACATTAATGCATAATTGGAACGTTAATCACTCACTTTTTAAAAAGTCTTTTCTGAAAGACTCAGCAAAATGCTAAGCTACACAAGGCCTCACCATACAGTTATTGAGTTGTTTCACAAAGTACCTGACAAAAGGTTTAGAAATCAGGCCTTCCATTCTAAATTCATTGCTAAGAGTTGTACATGCAGTAGTCCTGTTTACAACTTAATGGAGATGAAGAAAGAGAAAACCTAGGACAAGGAAGGTTGTCTTCCTCCATACACATTTATAGTACTATAACCATTATTTATCATATTTACTACATTCACCACTCCAGGAAAAAGGATCAGGGAGGCTCATAAAATACTACAACAAAGGAATGTTTGTTTTATATAAGACCAAATAAACAGTAAAACAAATAATACACATAGCACTAGTCTCAAAGCTACACAATAAAGAAGCAAAGCATCTGTGCACAGTCAGCTTTGCCTTACCATCTTTCACTGGATCATTGAATTTCATGGAGGAAAGTTTATAGAGGACCTCCTCCATGTGTTCAAGGATAATGGACCATGTGATTTTACTCTCACTCTAGGCAGTGGTCTCAACAGCTTTATGAGCCATATCATAAAAGGCAATCATATTGGACAGCATCTCTACTGTCTTGTAGAATGGGCAGAACGTGTCACAAGGAGTATATCCATTTTGCTGCAGGAAGTCATTTTGATAAGTGTTGCTACTTCCAGAATGATTTTATGTTTCTGTTGATGAAGCCTTTCCCACAAGCTGTACAATTTCTACCAGGTCTTTTTCCTGAAGAATTTCCTTAACTTTGGTCCTCAGAGGAACAAATTCTGTGAAGTGTTTGTCATAGTACTCATCTAAGGCCTGTATGTATTTGATATAGCTGATGAGCCAGCTGAACAAGGGCAAGTGCTTGCATTGAGCCAGTTTCTTATCTAAGCCCCAGAACACCTGAACAATACAAAAAGTAGCAGATGTAACTGAATCAGAAAAATCGCCACCAAGTGGAGAACTACTCCTACAATGCTGACACTGCCTTCTCTTTCAGGATTTCCAAGACATTTCACTTTGCCTGCTTGCTCATAGAAAGAGGCCAGACAGGCACCAAGATATGCAGGATATCCACTATCTGCAGGCATTTCAGCTAAGTGAACAGAAATCTTCCTAAGGGCCTCAGCCCATCTAGAGGTAGAGTCAGCCATCATACTGACATGGTAACCCATGTCACAGAAATTCTGACGGTGTAATTCCAGTATAAGCATTGACCACCAAAGCTGTCCTCTTCATAATTGACTCCACCTTACCATCAACTTCCATAGTGAGCTCTGGGAAGTCATGGAGAACTTCAGACAACTCATTTCCTCTTTCACCGCACCCTGCGTTGATGATCACATCACTGTTAGAATACTTGGACAGAGACTGTAATATTACTGTCTTTCCACAGCCAGGAGCCCTAGGGATAGCAGTTGTCCCTCCCTGTACACATATAAAAAAAGCATCCAAGACTCACTGGCCAGTCAGCAAATGGTGATTGGCTGGCAGCTTCTGTGTGACAGGCTGGATCTGATGGATGGGCCAGACTTGGACCATGCTGAACTTCTCCTTTACACCTTCAAATTCAACCTCCAAGACTACATCAGAGGCATCATAATTCCCAGGGGGAGCAATGTAAGTTACAGTGGCTCGGTTTCGTGGAGGTAGCATGATTTTGTGTTTGATGAGTGAGTTCTCATTGACAATTCCATAAATATCTCCACCAGTGACAGGACTGCCAACCCATAAGTATTTTTTTTCCAAAATTTTATTGATAAACAGCGATGCAATAGTTTCAAATCAAATCGGAAGTAGTTTCAACCAATAACACACTGCATATATTCTTCTTAGTGGTTAATTGCTGTACAAGATGTGGACTTGAGATCCTATTTACAAACACCATTAGAACAAATCATTGTATTCATTAAGAGAATGCAACTATATATCTATCCTAACCACTTTGAATACACAGATACAAAATGGATATTCATATGTATACCCAATTTTTTCTAAGTTCCGTTATTGAATATTATAAGTGTGTAAACTCAGCAAAATATTCTAAAAGAGTCCAGTAGCCCATAATAGCATTGGGTCTTCTGTTTAACTGGCAATGTCAGAAATT